CCCTAAACCCTTAAACCCTAAACGGCTACCCCATGGCGAATCAGCCCCCTTTCTGCCACATGCCTGAACACATCCCATCCACAGCCTGAAAAAGAGCAATGGGTCCAAATGTCCGTAAATACACGTAAAATCTATATGTACATACAGACAGACAGACAGACAAACAGACAGACAGATAAATACATACATACATGCATACGTACATATATGCATATACCTACATACCTACATACCTACATACCTACATACCTGCAAACATACATGCATGCATGCATGCATGCATGCATGCATGCATACATACAGACAGACATACATACATACATGTGTGTATATATATATATATATTTTTTTTTATGCATACACTTACGCATACCTAAAGGTCCATGTATCCCCCTGTGGTTTGAGAATGTTCATCTAAGGAATATTGGGCTCTCTGACCTTATGCCACCAGGGCACTTCATCGCGAAAAGTTTGCCAGAAGCCTTGTTCTTGATCAGCTGCACCTTGGCAAATGTTGGGACGGATATTTGTAGAGTATAGATCCCTTACAAACGATCTATAAGGGCTTCTATACGGGTACTATAACGGTTCTCTATAGGTAGTTGTCTAAATTAGGGTCCCTTTTAGGGTCCTTTTGATAAGGGTGCCGTACTATGTTGGGGACCTAAAAAGGGGCCCTAATTTAGAGAACTACCCATATAGTATACAGTTTTGGGCCGCTAGGGCAGCCGCAGAGACAGTTTAAAAAATAGAGTTCAAGCATTCTTGCAAGGAGCTGATTTGGAACGGAAGAGTTCTGTCGTATATGACCGACGAGGCCTCTGCTAAGCTGGATTTACTGCTTCGGAGATATACCCCAAGCCCTAAACCCTAAACCCCTGAACGGCAGCTCTCCACTTGTCTTCTGATCAATTTCCCGCTCGCCTTGCATTGACAAAACTAGAAGCTGTCTCAGTCTCCTGGACACTTCAGCACATCGAGATATCCTGCTTCGAGAATCTCGATAAGGCCTGGCCCAATCTGGGGCTACAGCCACATGGGCATTTTAACCACAGTAACACACACGAAGAGTGCATAGCTGACAGAAACTACAATCACACCAACCAGCAGCAGAATCCAGATGCCAGGCCGATAGTCACATGCCGTGGGGCAGCAGTCATCGCAAGCAGCCCCAGCCCCAAAGGGTCCAAGTTATAGTATAGCATATACTTTTGGGGCCCAAATACCTACAAAGTAGCTACCATATTACTACTTGGACCCTTTGGGAGCTAGAAAATCTGAAGCACCGAATTGAGCGGGGCCCTGTCTAGATCGAGTCACAGCAGCCCAGGCGTGTGCCATCAGGAGTCGGGCAGCAAGCGCCTGTGATGTTGAGCGCAACGCATGAAGGAAAGGATGAGCATTCCGTCCCAGCGGCGATCTTCGGCGCGGCGACCACTGGTGGAAATCCCATGCAGCAACCAAGTGCCACGTTATCATCGTTGGGGCAGCAGTTCCCCTCCTCGATTCCGTGAGCAACACAGGCAGGGTACTTGGCACACGTCGTGCCGTTGATGCCAGGAATGGGCGCCACCGTGGGAACCGGAGCAAGTGTAGGAGTCTCAACACTTGCCTTCTCCTCCCCATCTTCAGCGTCAATGGCAACATCGGTTTCTGCCGTTGCCGGCTTCTCCCCGCAGTATGGTGGTCCGGATACGGTGTCTGCATGCTTCTCCGGGGCAGGTGAGGCAACTGATGACTCATCTGTCAACAGGCAGCCCCCATCAGGCCAGAAGGTGAAGTGCGCACAGCCGTCAACGGAAAGGCAACGCTGTTGGCAAGCCTCCTGGGTCATCTCGCTGGTCCTTTCCTGGGCTAAGTAACCAGGGAGAAAAAAGTATAGACTTTTATTTCATAATGGTTCCTTTAAGGAGCAGGTCCCCAAAAAATAAACCCTAAACCCTAAACCCTAAACCCTATTAAAGTATGGTACTCCAAAGCCCGGTTTCCGTTCCAGCCATCTTGATCGGGCCGCTGTAGTAGGTGGAGGCCTCGAAGCAGTCGGCAGTGTCGGCATCCAAGACCACGAAAGCGCCCGACTTGCTGCGCAGGCCGCGGGTTGTGCCGCGGGCCACGATGCCCACAATGCCCACTGCCTTAAAGACGAACTGAACCCCACAAGGTTTTCAGGTTCATATACCATATAGAAATTCATAGTATAAGGGTATAGGGCCCCAACTTGTAAGGGTCATGTGGTCCCCAAGGTGCCAGAAGCCCCAGGAAGCCCAGCGCCAAGGCCATGCGCCGCGGAAACGTAAAGCTGCTGGTCTCTGGACGCTGCTCCTCCAGCAGGAGCTCCAGATCCGAACCGGCGCTGGCCATGACTGCGAGATGCAAAAAGATCTAATGCTTTGCGCACGATTCTCCTTAAGCCCCGCGTCTCTGATCCGGCCCAAAAAAACCAACGGGCACTCATGCATGCTCCCAAACACTGTCTAAAGCTGACACCCTCTGGCTGCGTCTGTGCGATATCCCTAGAATGACATGCACTAGACGAAACTCCCAATCGCGATTCCCTACATGCGGGCACCACAAAATCAGTAAAGGTAACGATGAGGCACGGTCCCATAGCCACCCTCGCCGATGGCACGTTGGAGCACATACCTGAACGGACGTAACAAGGACGCTGGATTTGGCAACCTCAATCTTGCTCTCTCTGCTTAGAAGTAGAAGAAGATAAATAATAAGTAGAAGAGGAATAAGAAGTAGAAGTAGCAGCAGCAGTAGCGGCAGCAGCAGCAGCAGCAGCAGGAGTAGTAGTAGCAGTAGTAGCAG